TAAAGTGAATGATTGTTCATTGCCAAGGTATTTCCCTCCGTTCCAAGATTTCCAAGATACAAGGTGTATTAAAAACATTCTCTATAAACTTCTCTATGTTTGATCAAATTTAAAATAAAATGTTTCTGGTGAAACATAGAAACATTTGACTTCTGAGAAAAAAAATCAGTACAGGTTATATTTTGAAAGCCGGAGTTAGTAGGTACACCAATAATTCGATATACCCACAAAATGCTGGCTCTAGTTCCTTTCATGGTTCCTTTGATGTAAGAAAGAAGCTAGTAGAGACAAAGGGAATCAAATTATGAGAGGAGGCGGCCCTATCCTTATTCCTCTTCCCCACGCGGTTGCTCCCGTCCATCCTTTCCCAAAAGTGCAGCATCTCTCATTTCCTTCTTCATCTTCTCCTCCCCCTCCTTCCGTGATGCTCACTCGCCTATAAATAGCCCTCGCTGCCTGCCATTGTTCCTCAAGCCAGCAAGCAAGAAGCACACAGGAAGCTCCTAGCCAACACCAATCAAGGCCTCCATCCAAGCCCAAGCAACCTCGAATATGTCTTGCTGCGGAGGAAACTGCGGATGCGGCACCGCCTGCAAGTGCGGCAACGGCTGCGGTGGCTGCAACATGTACCCCGAGGTTGAGGCCGCCGGCGCCACCCTCCTCGTCTCCGCCACTGCCACTCACAAGGGGTACGTCCCTTCTCTTGACAAAATTTTCTCCACAGCTCATACATCATCATGCACTCGATCTTTTTTTTTTTGCGGGGTACGTGCAGGAGCTCCGGCGGCATGGAGATGGCGGCCGAGAACGGCGGCTGCGGCTGCACCCAGTGCAAGTGCGGCACCAGCTGCGGCTGCTCCTGCTGCAGCTGCTAGATCATTGATCATGCATGCGCCGCGTGCATCATATCTATGATCTACGTATCCATCTACTACCATGTAATGCCACCTGATCGAGGGTCTTTGTATGTATGTAGTATGTACGCACCTGCCTGCATGAGCAGAGCGGGTGCCATTCCATGCATGTAAACCCCTAAATAAAATCTCCCGTGGTTTTGCTTACATCGTGTTGTTAGATCCTCCTCCTATTAGTGTTGCTTTCGGGTTCTTCTTATGCACTAGCAGGATCAGAGGCCGGTCTTTTGTTCTTGGTCTTCTCCTCAAACTGTCGTTTTCCTCTTCTCTATGGTTCCATGTGCGGCAGTATTTTCTTCTTCTGTTGCCGAGTGTTGTATCAGACTGTACCTTGTTTTGTGGTTTATTCCTATCCATCTCGAAATATAGTGCAGGAATTTATTTGCAAAAGGTGGATCTCAACAAGACACGACGGTATGTGTATCTTGCAGGATTTATTGATCGGTCTATCTTATGCGTCTTATTAAAAAAATACATTAAGGTCTCATGGTCAAGCCAAATTATCATTGTTTTTCCTTGCATGCAAAATGCAGCAATAAATCTTCGTCCTTGGCTTGTTTCCCATTTCACTGCCTACGTTGCAGGTATCCGACCCTGTTGGAATCTCCTTTTCTGTCATTGTGTTCACTTTCTATGATGTGATGTGTGCGCAAATATTCCCACAACAACAACATAATAATAAAGCCATATACGCAAGCAACCGAATAATGGCAATGATATATTACTGCTCAAGGCGCATCTCCAAATCAACCTGTCATGTCCATGGCTGCGTCTAAGCACTCGGGGCAGAAATACTCACTCTCCGCCACTGATTCATATCACCGAATCCACACGGCCAAATTACGTCCTCCATGTTTTAAGCGATGCCACTATATCTCGTGGGAAAATTGTTTCCACAGTTCGATATCCCTCCCTTTGATGAAAAAATTCACGCTTGGCTTCTGCATCACAGAGTGCAGATAACGAATATTGTTTTCTATGTTCTGAACTGGAACACTATATCTTGTGTAAAAATTTGTGTCAACAATATCGATATTCCCTCCCATAAAATAAAATCATCAATAGCTCACTTCTCTATATAACTGGATGCAAAGTAATGGGCGGTGTGGAGCACCCAAGACAGCACGCAAAATATCGGTGTTATTTTAACTCCACTACGTAGACAAGTCACTATATTTACACAATTATGTAAGAAGAAGAGCTCTTTTATGGTACCCTGTATTGAATATTGACCGTCCATCTGCAAAGATCCAATGGTGGGTACTTATCTGTACTGGTGAAACTGGATTAGCAGCATCGCTAGTACCGCACGTCTCACGTCCACCGGTATACTGCTCGGAGGGCATTATCGGTGACTCTGCATCACCGGCAGCCGCCCGCCGGGGCTCGCCTCCTCTTTGCCCCCATGCCCGCTGGGGCGCCTCCTCCCTGCCTTTAATCCGCTGTGCTATGCATGCTTCTATGGTTTTGGACTTCTGGCATGCCACCGTGCGCCCCATCCCCCTTCCACGCTACGGCCGCGATGTTCTTTGCCGCCCCGCATGGCTGAGCAGTAAGCACCTTAGCATCGCGTTTATTGTGTTGCCTCGTTCATGACGACAGTGCATGCCAAACCACCCTGCGTCGCAGACAAGCTCGCCGTCGTTGACGATGAGGCCAGGATGTGTACAACGTTGTGGTCTTCACGGAGAGCTGCGGCTACGAGAGTGCCGGAGCCTGGCGGAACCTCGCCTATTTTGTGCTAACCATGCCCTCGCTACGCTCATGGCCGTCCTCCTTTATTTTACTACCGCTTGCCTTCATGATCGAGCTCTTCATGGCCTGGATCACGCTTTACTTTAGCCTCAGCTTGCCGGACGTGGAGCAGCTACTCATCTGCCTTTGCTGTGAGGTCGACGACCACGTCATTGTTCAAAAGCTCACCCAGGCAGGGCTCAACATACCTGTTTCCTCGTCGTCACCCCGCTGTCACAGACTCACAGGAGTGTACGATGCATTCCGAAATATTGATTCGCCAGAGCAATTCCCTTCACGAACACAAGAAGAGCTTTCACCGTCACATATACTGCTCCCTCCTCAGTAGCAGTATAGGGTACCATAAAAACCCTCAAGAAAAATAAATAACTCGAGAACTGTCTGGCCATAGATGGAGCTTTCTACAGATGGGGACAAGAATTTGGCACCACCCACTCAATTTCCCTCTCACCTTTTTGCATTGCTTTCGTATGTAAAAAAACAAAAACAAAATAGTGAGTTGACTTGCGATCTGCCTTAAAATGACAAGATGACGGTTGGGGGGTAAAAAAAACATTCAAATGCATTTTATATATTCATATGTTTACTTATTTTGTATTTGTTTGTGCATGTCATAAAAATCATCAATTTCCACAAGCATACATTTTTTTTCGAAAAGCATACTCAATGATCTACATTGACAATAGGCTTTGAGATTTTTCAACGCATGACAAGAAAAATCAAATGAGGTCAGCTGGAAATTAAAGATCAGTTTTGACTTCCAAAAAATTATGATCTCTTTTGTCCAAACTTAAAAGGAATCATTACAGAAAATTTGGAGATTCCAATTGTTAGAATATTTTCCTACAGGACTAGTAGGGCTGGGAACCATAATGATATTTTCTATGGCCTAATTGACATGTTTATGTTGAGCCAAATCTTTTGGAAATAGTTTCGTTGATTCAGTGACAACTATGTGCTTGCACCTAACGCTTGAGAAAATTCTTGTATTTTTTCCCTCTTGCAATAAATCAACATCCATATTTTACGCATTTACTCCATCTTCAATTCCCACAGAATTCAACACAGCATGACCTGAAATCTGTGTGTTAAGTTTTCCGGTTCCTGTCTTTTTAAAATGCTGCAAAAGTATGTGGCATGTAATCTTTAAAAATAGTGGGAGTGTGATAGTTATTGAAATGCATGTAGGATGGAAACTAAAATTTCAGTAAAATTCAGCTTATAACACTAAAATTGAAAAGGTTGCCAAGCTTATGGCAACCAAGAGCCGCCAAGATTTCTTAAATAACAAATATTTTCGGCGACCTCCCCCAAAGAAGACATAGCTTTTTCCTTGTCTTGACATTCAAAAGCACTGAGTGAGGGGTATCGGCTGAATATATTCACTAAGGGCATGCACAAAAGAGAGTTGACTATTATTATTTTGCAATGCTTTCAGAATTTAGTTTGATATTGGTTTAATTCATAGTTCATAATTTACCGAGAAATACCACTACGAGGTCAAGCACCCCTAAACTTGACCGTTATGGCTGCATGCATCAATGTATGCCGAGGGCCGCGCGCGGGGGGTCTTGTTTGGAAAATAATAATGATCTTATAGTGCAATGATTGGTCATTGCCTAAGGTATTTCCCTCTGTTCCAAGATACAAGGTGTATTTTTTATTAAAAAAACAAAATTCCCTATGTTTGACCAAATTTAAAATAAAACGTCTCTGTGTTTGGAAACCATTTATATTTTTATAAGCTCGATCAAACATAGAAGATTTGACTTCAGAAAAAAAAATTAGTACAACTTATATTATGAAACGGGAGTTAGTAGGTACACCAATAATTCGATATACCCACAAAATGCTGGCTCTAGTTCCTTTCATGGCTCCTTTGATGTAAGAAAGATGCTAGTAGAGACTAGAGACAAAGGGAATCAAATTATTGGAGGAGGCGGCCCTATCTATATTCCTCTTCCCCAAGCGGTTGCTCCCGTCCATCCTTTGCCAAAAGTGGAGCATCTCCCATTTCCTTCTTCATCTTCTCCTCCTCCTCCTTCCTTCGTATTCACTCACCTATAAATAGCCCTCGCTGCCTGCCATTGTTACTCAAGCCAGCAAGCAAGAAGGACAAAAGAAGCCAACACCAATCAAGGCCTCCATCCAATCCCAAGCAACCTCGAAGATGTCTTGCTGCGGAGGAAGCTGCGGCTGCGGCAGCGCCTGCAAGTGCGGCAACGGCTGCGGCGGCTGCAACATGTACCCTGAGGTCGAGGCCGCCGGCGCCACCCTCCTCGTCGCCGCCACCGCCACCCACAAGGCGTACGTCCCTTCTCTTTCCTCATACATCATGCGCCTCGCTGTAATATGACTGTATGTTGATCTTGGTATGGGTATGGATGGGTGCAGGAGCTCCGGCAGGATGGAGATGGCAGCGGAGAACGGCGGCTGCGGCTGCACCCAGTGCAAGTGCGGCACCAGCTGCGGCTGCTCCTGCTGCAGCTGCTAGATCATCGGTCATGCATGCACCGCGTGCCTCATATCTATGATCTATCTATATATCCATCTACCACCATGTAACGCTACCTGATCACGGTCTTTGTATGTATGTACGCACCTGCCTGCATGAGCAGAGCAGGTGCCATGCCATGCATGTAAACCCCTAAATAAAATCTCTCGTGGTTTAACCCCTTATACATGTGTTTGTGTTATAGTCTTATAGACCAACTTCTGGCCCATGTTTACTATGAACTTGCGACTTGCGAGGTGCCTGGGTTGTTAATAGACCAGCTGGATGCTCTCTTGAAGCAACGTATGCACCGCTTGGAGTCGGTGTATCTTTATACACATGTATTTATTTTACAGGTGTATATCATCGGCCACACCTGGGAAAAAACGATGGATGGAGAAGTGTAAATTTACAGGGGTATTGCTCTGTGAAACGAGAATCGAATCAGGGCCTTAAGGGTAGGGATGACAATGGGTAGGGTATGGGCGGGTACGACATTTTTCTGCCCAAACCCATACCCAAATCTTTTTTCTATACCCATCCATTTCAATATCCATGGACACAAATTGGTACCCATACCCATACCCATCGGGTATATTATACCCAATGGATATCCAATGGGTATAGTATCTAACATTGGCATGATAAAGATAAGCCAAGAAAAGGGCCTAAAACTAAATTTAGGTACTCGGCCATCACAATCCGGTTTGCA